CCCCCCCCCTCTTTAACTAGTCTAACGAACCTGTCTTTCTACTGCGATGTTGTGACACTCACGACCCAGGTCGCCTTTTGGAAAAAAATGTTGTTCTTCTTGCGCCCACATCGACATAATTTGTCAGGCATCATGGTGTAATCAGCCGCTCGTCAAAATGATGAGATCGGAGATATCGGCATTTATCGACCAGTTTGGCAATCTTTATCAAACTTTTGTTTTCCTGGCACAACACCTTTTATGTCCATTAAAAACTAAGTTATGTGCGGATTTTACTGAAAAACACTGATTAATGGCATACAAATGTTAATTTTCAGTTTTCAAGGACTCACAGGTTCTGAAAGTCAGCAAACATTGGCAGCGATTTTGTCGCTAATTTTACCTCTCAAGCCAGGTGAGCCCCCCCCCCCCTCGTTTAACTGCAAATATATCAACTTATATTCTAGATAGATGGATATTTTTTCACCACAGTGTAGAAAAATGATCAACTCCAGTGCCTAAAAATTGACGAGTGGCTGATTCCATCGCGTCGTGACATATTATTTAGACCATTTAGGAGGCGGCTTCAGACCCTGCCTGTCAGGACAATCCTGGCTGAGAGTAATACAACATTCCAGCATAAAGACCGAGATACTCGATGACATTTCCCCCCTCCCCACTCGGGAATTGAACTCGCATCTCTTGCATGCGACAGCGAAGAGACAAACCGCAACACCAAAGACGCCGATAGGTTGACCCTGACATATAAAGTTGAAACAGCTCTCTCCCTAACATTTACTAATTTTTATTGTCGATTGGGGAAAAAACACATTTACAATCAGAGAAGGAGCCGTTTCTTTTGGGATCATGTGAATCTGCGTGAATTGTAGAGTATGCATTTGTCGATCGTGGGGGCTCTCGTGGTCTAAAGGTGGTTAAGGTGTTTTCCTCTCATTCAATAGGTCCGGGGTTCGAAACCTAACAGCGACAGATAATTTTCTTCTCTAAAATTATCTCCTTTCAACTCCTTTCCTGCTCTCTAACCATGCCCTGTCGTCTGCTTTCATCTACAGTTTCTGCCCCCACCCCCTCACCTCCTTTAACCCCCCACCCTATCTGGGCTCCTGACTCTTTCTGCAGCCTTTCTACTGCTACTCCTTGGCTCCTTCTTACTGCTGTCTTTCAGCCTCACACCTAATCTTAGGGTAGGAAAGATCTTACACCTAGCCTTCTCAGACAAGGACGAAAAATGTCGGAGGTCCCTTGTGCAAGTTGCATACGTTAAAGATCCCTTGTTGTTTCAAAATTGATAAGAGTAAGCGTCTGCCGCCACCCAGGCCAAATTCAAAATTTGTTCCTACCAAATTGAAGTAATAAATGCTGAATGTGTTCCGCGCGCTCATATGACTTTATGAAGTCCCCTGTGCCGTAAAACACTTAA